ACATTCTAAGGTCTGGAACATTTTTATCAACAGCTGGGGTTTCCTACTAAGTTTAGTTAGAGGTATTAGAGCCCTTGGAGTCCCAATGTGGCGCTGTGGGTTAATGTGCCAGACTACAAAGCTGTTTCAACTGCAAGATCGGCAGTTCAAGCTCATCAGCTGCTCCTCGGAAACCCTATACAGGGTTGTCTATGGTTCAGAACTGATTCGATGGCAGTTAACAACAACAATTAGAGTCCTTAGTACTGATCACCATACCTAGAATAGGGCAGGTACTCAATACTCAATATATATTTCCTGAATTGACCAGGAAGTCATTAGGAGATGCAAATCAAAAACACACTGAGATATCACCTCACCCCTATTAGAACGTTAGTGTTGAAAAAAACAAAAAACAACAGGTGTTGGCAAGGTTGAACAGTGACTGGCACTCTTATCTATGGCTAGTAGAAATGTAAAATGGTACAGATACTGTAAAAAACAGTTTGGTAGTTCCTCAAAACATTGAACATAGAACTACCATATGATCCAGCAGTCCCAATCCTAGGTATATACTCAGGCAGAATAAAGGCAGGAATGCAAACAGAAACCTGTACACCAATGTTCATTAGAGCACTTTTCACAATAGCCAAAAGGTGGAAACAACTGAGATCATCCTTAGCAGATAAATGGACAAAATGTGGTACACATATACAATGCAGTAATACTCAACCATAAAGTGAAATGAAGTCTTGATACATGCTACAACATGGATGACCCTTGAAAACATGCAGAGCAAAATAAGTGAGTCACAAAAGGACAACTACTGTATGATATCAATTATATGAAATAAGCAAATATAAATACAGAAATGAAAGCTTATTCGTAACTACCAAGGAATGGGAGGGAAGGGGACATTGAGTTTACGTTAATGGTGGTGGAATGGTTTGGAAGGGGACAGCAAGGATGGATGTAAAACTTGAAGAATGTAATCTAGGTTGCTGAATTGCACATGCAGAAATTGTTGAGATGAAGTATGTTTTGTTACGTATATTTTTACCACACACAGTACCCCCCCCAAAAAACAACAATAACAACAACAAAACAATTGGTCATGAAAGAGGCTGAATCGTCTTCCAGATAAGATTGCTAAAAGATCATAAATGGGTAGGCTAGGAGAGCATTTTAGATTGATTAGTCTATTTTCACAGAAGAAATTCAAGCTCAGAGAATTAAGTGACTTGCTCAGTGCCAAACAACAGGTCAGGAATAAGGCAGAACTCAATCTCCACCTATTATACCAGAAACAGTTATGGAAGAAAACAATATTTCTACAGCTAATAGCCCTCAATTATGGGTAGTAGAGTTGGGAGTATGGATAATTAGTTCTAAAGAGCAGAGAATAACAGTGTTTATATCACGAAAGAAAACAACAAAACAGTTTGTGCAGCTTTTGGTGATCTCAGTATATCTGGGTAGCCAGAAAGCAAGCAATTTTTCTTACATATAATCATTCTTACCATAACAAATACAATCATCCAGGTAGACAGGTCTTTGGCAGGGGAGAATTGGAAGATTTGTCAACAAACTATTTACTTCAGGGCAATAGCTGTTGTGGTCTTAACCTCAATATTTATTTTGTTAATTGACAAGAAGGGTTTCTATATGCATAAGGCAGCTTCAAAGCTGATGGGACAGAGAGCCGAGGACACAAACATTATGATCAAAAGTTTACCTAGGTGCACAACACTATACATTTAACAAGAGATTCCCTGGTTATATGTGGTACCTTGAATTTTACCCGATACTGCTTTTTCATCCAAAATCTTCTTAACTCCTGCCAAATGACTAGGTGGGACCATTCAAACAGTGTCCATGCAAATCTAATGCCATGATTGGTTAATTTTGCCATTCCTCTAGGTTTAAAAGGAACCATATCTCAGAAGCAGGAATAGAGGATCCCAGTATCACCGAGAAAGAAAGGCATGAGCAGCACGTGAGAGATGGCAGAGGCTGTGGTAAACAGAGACCTAGCAGCTTCAGGCTTCCCAGTCCATGGACTAAGTAAAGCTGAGTGCCTATGGGCAGGAGGCTGGGCTGGCTTGCAGACTGTGCCCTCGGGGTATTAACAGACTGGCTACGCTATGGGAGCTTTGTAACACTTGTCCAAGGAGGGCAGAGGCCAAGGGGCCACGTGGCTGAGAGGCTGAAGACAAGAGCAGGCATGTCTGCAGCACAGCAGAGAACAACCATTCCTGACTGGAAAACTGCTGCGTTCTGAGGTGTTTGTGATCCTGAATTGTACCTTGTTCATTTAACTAATAAACCCTATAATCATGAGTATTGTCTATGAGTTCTGTGTGATCACAACAACTGATTACTGAACCCAGCTGTGAGGCAGAGAGCAGGGAGGCGGGGATAGCTGGTGAGCTATGAGTTAGAACCCACTCAACGGCACTTCACAACAACAGCAGGGCGGAGGTATGTCTGACCTCCATCTCATAGGAATTGGCCTTGGGCTGATTTTGAGTTTGATTCTTTCCCCTTTGTGAAGCCAGAGGAAGCCAAACATGGTTTCCATGCCAATTTTGTGTGGCAATGTAGGATGAGTGCAGGACTGAACCACAAAGTCAGCAATTCAAACTTACCAGCCACTCCTCAGAATCCCTGTACAGTCGGAATCGACTCAACAGCACTTAATAACAACATATAACATGTATATAGTATTCAAATCAAGCAGGTTTTCTATACTCATTTTTTACCTCCTCTCCTCTCTTAAAAGATACTCAGTTCACACAGGCAAAACTAACTGGACTTCAAACTCTTTTCTTCTCCATCTCCACATATGCCTTCTCTGTTTTTTCCTTATTCTCCTGATCTCGGACTACCCACTGGTCTTTGGCATGATTTGCTTCTATCTCCTGGAAGTCATTACAGAGAGCATTTCTTTATACAGCTGTCAACAAGATCAATTGCCAGTCTTATTATTGAGAGACAGCAAGATGGTAGTGTGTGCAGAATTAGAAAGATAAAAATCTACAAGACCATGAAGTTTTAGGTAAACCACTTAATCTCTTTAGAGCTCAATTGTCTTACATGTAAAACTCAGGGAAATGGCTGAAATAATATTTAAATTCTTAATATCACTGTTTATCTCTTTTAGAAGTCGATGATTCAATGAAAAAGATAACAAGATCTAGAAGGAAAAAAAAGTAATGTGGTAAGTTGAAAGAGAATTTATAAGTAAAGGCCGAACCTTACTTTACATAAAAGTTTTTGATGGTGATCTAAAAGAAGTATAGTTTGAATTCATTTTTATTGTGATCATGTTATAGAAATTTTGTTTTGTAGTTAGGGACAAAGTACAGGCAGACCCCAGGTTACGGATGTCCAACTTAAGTGCAATTTATGTGTAGTTACAAACCAACTCCCCAAAAGCCTATTATAGTAAAAATTCAAAGTATTTACAATGGTTTGTAATACAAATGTGACGATTTTTGCACCATGCATCAAAACATTATCATTATTATATCATCATGTTAAAGATGTTTTTGTATATTTGGAAGCGTTTCTTTAATTTTTTTTTTTTTTTAATATACATAGAAAGGGACACAAACATTTGACTGACATTAGATATGAGTCATACCTAACTGTTTGAACTGACATATAAATTTGACTTAAAGACAGACTTAAGAATAGAAAAAGTCCATAAGCCAGAGACTGCATGTATTTCTATCTATATGACCTAGATATTAGTTTTCTGATATTCTATCCTTTCTAAAAAATCAGTTGCTGATGAGTTGGCCCCATGTGTGTCAGACTAGAACTGTCCTCCATAGAGTTTTTAATGGTGGATATTTTAAAGATAGATGACCAGGTCTTTCTTCTGACATACCTCTGGGTACCTGAATCACCAAACCTTTTGATCAATCAGTAGCCACACACATTAATGTTCAAACCACCTAGGGACTGCATCCTTTCTAATGGGACAGTAAATAACTGATTTAGTGTTCTTTTTATTTTTTTTTGTTTCCTTAGTAATTAATTGCTGCTGTTGTTAAGTGCCTTCGAGTCAGTTCCAAACCCATAGGGACCCTATATAGGGTTTCCAGGGAGTGGCTAGTATGCTTGAACTGCTGACCTTGAGGTTCAAACTGACTTTGCAGTCTAGTGCATTAAGCCACAGTGAGTTTCTAAGGCATATATTCCAGGTAGCATCAACATTGTACCTTGCTAAAAGTGTTCCGGGTGTGTGAGTTCACAGAGCAGAGGCCAATAAGTAAGAAGATGATAACAGCAAATACTTCTACAGTGCTTACTGCAGACCAGGCAGTGTGTCGATATGCTTCCTGTGTATTCACTCACTCAGTCCTTGCAATGATCCCCTAAGGTAGAGGGCACTGCTTTTATTTCACACGTTAGGAAACCAAAGCAGACAAAGAAAGCACTGGGTGTAGTAAGAAGGATCTAACCTGAGTCATCCCAGCCCCATGCTTCTGCACACTGGTCATCTGCCCCAGGGGCCAGCATGAATAGAAATGGAACGTGTAAAGCTGCTCATCACTCATTATCACCACCATTTCTTTATCAACATTTGAATAAGAAAATATGATACAACAACAGAAAGGAAGTCACATTCAAAGACAAAGTTATTTTTAAAAGAGGCATATTTTAGAAATGGTGCAAGTAATAAATAAACATTCAGAGTCAGATAACATATTTTCTTAAAATAGTTATCTTTTAGAGATTAGAAAATATTGTCTTGAGGTTCACTTGAAAAAAAAAGAACAAAGTTTGGCATTTCCTGCTAATATTTACACACTGAGAAGCGCAGCTGGTAAAAAATACTTTCTTCCACTAGCTGTACTGCTAAGAAATAATTCCAACATTTACAAGTTGAAATCACTGAGAATAATTGCCACCAATTAATTGTTCTAAAATCTGGTTCATGTAAAGAAGTGGAAAAAAGTTAGCTCGACAAGAAAATAAGTCAGAGGTCCTTCATAGTGAAGGTAGTTTACCTGAAAGGGGGAGGTCTGGCAGGTCCAGGCGCTGAGTTACTCCCTGGCTGGCTGGTCGCAAGCTTCTATAAGTTGAATGCCTCTATAAAAAGCAAAGGGAACCAGTATGAGTGAAATTGTATATCAAGAATAGGACAAACACAATGTGTGTGTGAGTACAACAGTTCTCAAGTACATTAGAACCACCAAGGGAGCTTTTAAAATAATGTATTGATTTATTAGACAGCAAATGCAACTGGAACATCTTCAAAAGAAATAGAGAAGGCAGACAGTAAAAAGAGGAGTCCTGGTGTGGCACTGTAGGATAAGCACTAGACTGTGAGGTAAGTTCAAATTCACAAGCTGCTTTTCGGCTTATAGCAGCCCCTAAACAGGGTTGCTGTAAGTTAGAACCAACTCAATCGCACTAACAACCATGAGAAAAGATAAAATATGTGATGGAAGTGGAAGAGAGACATTTTTCACTATGTTGTTGTTAGCCCCCGGTAGAGGGTTTTTGAGAAGCAGCTGGTAAGTTTGAACCACCAACCTTGCATTCAGACTTCAAAGAGCTAAATGGTAGAAGTAAATTCCCCCTTATCAGAAGTTATTTTAAATGTAAATGGTTAAATATTCTCATTTAAAAGATTGACAGTACATCCCCCCACCAAAAACAACCCCCAAAAAATACCCCCAGAGGGAATAGAAGCCAATACTATTGAACAATGATGTACGGAAGAGACTGTAATGATTGCAATGCAACGATGCAATGTTCTCCCACGTAAACTATCAGTCAATTCACAATAAATAATAATAATAAAAAAAAAGGTTGACAGATAGGATTTTAAAATTCCTCTATGTCTTCTTTCCAAGAATTTCACTTTGGATTCAATGACACAAAGAGTTTGAAAGTAAAAGGATGGAAAAAGGTAGGCCACACAAATAGTAACCAAAGAGAGTTGGGTGGCTACATTATTATCAGACAAAATAGATTTCAAATAAAAAAGGTTATGAATATATAATGAAGGATATTATATATTAATAAAAGGTTCTATTCAGCAAGAGGGTATAAGAATTTTAAACATATGTACACTGAACAACAGAGTCCCAAAATATATGAAGCAAACCTTAAAGAACTGTAGGGAGAGACAGCTGTACAGTAATAGCTGGGGACTTTAATACCCCACTTTCAATAATGGACAGGACAAGGAGACAGGTGATTAATAAGGAATATATGGTGCTGTAGGATAAGCACAGGACTGCTAATCACAAGGTTGGCAGTTCAAACCCACCAGTCGCTCCTTGGTCGTTATGAGTCGGAACCAACTTGATGGTACTTAACAACTTAACCACAGTGAATATGCATTATTCTCAAGTGCACACGAAACGTTCTGTAGTACAGAGACCATACACGCATCTGTGGGAGATGTCGACTAGCTCACTGGAGTCTGTTCTAGTTTTATTGTATGGCAACTTCTAACTGGAAAGCTAAAAAGAAACCCTGGTGGCACTGCGGGTTAGGCACTGGGTTGCTAACCACACGACAGCTGGTTTAAACCCATCAGCCACTTCATGGGAGAAAGATTAGGCTGGCTACTCCCGTAAACATTTACAGTCTTTGAAACCCTATATAGGTTGGTCACTATGAGTCAGAATCAACTTAATGGTAGTGAGTTTGGAAAGCTAACGGTTATGCGAGGGGGCTTCAAAAATGTCATGGGAAAATGGAATGAAAAGATAATGGAATTTTCCCATGGACTTTATAAAACCCCCTTGTGTTTTCCAGATCCCCTTAAAGCTGTCTTCAGCAAGCAATGGAGTTTCTGTCAGCAGGCCCATTCTCAGAAGATCTGAGAGGTACAAGGGAGTTTAAGCCTACCCTTTTGATGCTTTTGCTGGCAAGCCTGGCCCTGAAGGCATATGCTTTTCTGTGGCAGAGGAAGGGAGGTTCTAGTGTCTGGTCCCTGGCTCTGTAGGTGCCATGAGGCAGGGCATACAGTATCTGTATGGCTGACACTGACTATATCTGCGCAGTGTGGCCCTGAAGCCAATCCTAGGGCTTGACAGAAGTGGGTCCTAGGAAAGCGCTTAGGAAATGACTTGTTGATTCTGGCAGAAGCAGCAACTCCTTTAATTGGTCAATGTTGAGCTATTCCGGGAACCTCTCCCGGATTCTCTGTCTAGAATGGAGTCTTCCCCTCTACCAAATCCTTGATATGAAATTCCTTCCTGCTTAACCAGCTAGAGGGATTTTAGATATCTGCATATCACATATACTAATATGCTCTTATACAGAACTCAACCCTTAAGTGGGCAAAACCCTGTACAAGGAGTTTCATTGTACTGTTTTTATGGTAAGTTAAATCCAAAACAATCTCAATGTCCATCAACAGAGAAATGATTAACAAACCACCACATATTATACAGCCTTTAAAAAGAATGAGTTTCAGGGCATTTTTAGGGCAAAGAAACTATTCTGTATGATACTATAATAATGGACACATGACTATGCATTTGTCAAAACCCGCAGAACTGTACCACACATACTGTAAACCCTAGTGTATTATCAACTTTAGTTACTAATTATATATCCATGTTACTTCAATTGTAACAGAAGAATGGTGGTGGTGGTGGTTATGTGTTGTGGAGTCGGTTCCGACTCACAGAGACCCTGTACAGGGTTTCCGAGGCTGTAAATCTTTACAGGAGTAGAAAGCCTCATCGGTCTCCTGTGAAGCTACCACTGGTAGCTTCAAACTGTTGCTATAAGAATAGCAGTCCGATTCGTAACCACTATACTACCAGAGCTCCTTTACGGAAGAATGTGAGACACTAATAATGGAAGAAACTGCAGGAAGGAGGGAAGCATGTGGGGACTCTCTGTACTTTCTATACAATTTTTCTATAAACCAAAACCCATTGCCACTGAGTCAATTCAGGATTCACAGTAACCCTCCAAGACAGAGAAGGACTAACCCATTGAGTTCCCAAGGCCACAGATCTTTACAGAAGCAAACTGCCACCCCTTTTCACCCATGGAGCAGCTAGTAGGTTGGAGCTGCCAACCTTTTGATAACTGTCAAGTGCTTAACTGCTCTACAAGGCTTCCTTGTAAACTTAAAAGTGCTGAAAATTGTGACCGGTGGGTTTGAACCACTGACCCTGTGGTCAGCAGATCTGTATCTATCCCACAGTGCCACACCAGGACTATTAAAAGAAAAAAATAGTCAAAAAAGAATGAATTAGTTCCCCATATTTTGATATCTGAAAATGTCTAATATATTCCTTCATTCAACAAATATATTGAGTTTCTACCATGATTTTGAAGTTCTGGTGTGGTGCTGTGGGTTAAAAGCCGTTTGAACTGAAAGATTGGTGGTTCAAACTCACCAGCTGCTCCTTGGAAACTCTATACAGGGTCGCTGTGGGTCAGAATCAACTCGATGGCACTTAACAACAACAACAACTATGATTTTACTACATATCAGCCACTGTTCCAGGCAGGAGATATAATAGCAAGCAAAAAATAAAAAAATCTCTCCCCGCTGGGACTTTACTTTCAATGATAAGGTGAAATGAGCAAGTATCTTCTGCATGTGTAATGTAGTTGTTGTTGTTGTAAAGCGCTGTCGAGTCGGTTCTGACCCATAGTGACCCTGTATAGGGTTTTTGAGGAGCAGCTGGTGAGCTCAAACCACCGACCTTGCAGTTCAAACAGCTTTGCAGTCTGGCACATTAACCCACAGCTGCACACCAGGACTCCATGTAATGTAATTACACATTATATAATACATGTATGCATGTTTTTCTCATACATACACACAAACATTTATATAAGAAAAACAAACAGCTACAAGTATGTACAATAAACAATGGCTAATTTAGGGGCTCAAAATGAGGAGGGATTTTTAAACATTTTTCCTCTGAACTGAAATTTCTGGGAAAAGATATTTTAAAAATAAGCATAAGAGTAAAAAAAAAAAAAAAAAACTGGAAGTAATCCAAAAGTCAATCATTAGTGGAATGACTAAATAAATTGTGGTATATTTATACAAAGGAGCACTACAGGAATGGAAAAGAACAAAACACTACAACAATATGAATAATACTGAACATACTATTAAACAAAACAAACCAGTCTCAAACAATAAGATACTACATGATTCCACTTACATGAAGGCTAAGATCATACAAAAGGAATCTGTGATGATAAAAGTCAGAGTAATGATTATTCTAAGGGGTTACTGGAGTCCTGGTGTGATGCTGACTGGATCACAGGTCAGTGGTCGCTGGTTCAAACCCACCAGCTGCTCCTTGTAAACCCTATACAGAGTCTCTATGAGTCGGAACCAACTCCACGGCATTTAACAACAACAAAAGGTGTTACTGACTAGTTGGAGACATGAGGGAGATGATGTGAAGAGTCTATATTTTGGAGTTGGTTTAACAAGTGTAAGTTATTAGATGCTGTTGAGTCCATTTTTCACACACAGCCAATAAAAACAACCGTTTACTGACAGATGGCCAGCCCTTTCTCTCACAGAGCTGCTCCTTGACAGTGTGAAACTGCCCC